TCTCACCGGGTGCTGCCAGGCAGAGGGGTGATCCCCACTGGCCCATGCCACATGAGGGGCTCTGCCACGAGTCTTCTGACCCCTCCTGATGCCCAGCCCCTCCATGGCTGCCCTGCCTGCCCCAACTCTGGCTCTTTAAGAAAAAAAACCCGAGAAAACCCTGGGACTCGCCACTCCTGCATCGTTCTTGGGGCTTTGGCAGGCTTGTGCAGAGCCCCCCAAATGGCATGGGTCAGCAGGGATCATCCCCCATCTGGCAGGAATGGTGAATCCAGGGGTTTTTCTTGGGGTTTTTTTTCTTAAAGGGCCGGAGATGCGGTGGGCAGGGCAGCCATGGGGGGCGGGGCTGGGACAGTGGGCAGAGGCTGTGGGGCTCATGCAAAGCCCCCCAAACAGTGTGGGGCAGTGGGGGGAAGCAGGGATTGCCCCCCCCGCCTGGCAGCACCCGGTGAGCTGGGGCTTTTTTTTCCAAGTGCTGGGAGCTGGGGAGGGAGGAGCAGCCATTTCCAGGCTGGGGCAGCAGGCAGGGGATGGGCCTCACCTGCCTGATTTGGAGATTTGGGACAGTGATTTGAATCACTGAATTGAATTACTGTCCCACGAATCTGCCAAATCCGAATCCGAAGTGAATACTAGCCACTTCACACAGGCCTAGTACCAATGCCATCTACCAATTAAGCCCTGATTTTGCATATAGGGTCAACTCCTATTTCAGCTTTATGCAATTAATCAGCACTTACATCCCTGCAAGAGTACCATTTTTGGCACTGAGTTAGAATTTAGAATTTATTTCCATGTGTGGCAGACTAGGTCCATGCATAATTACCTGAAGTAGAATGGTGGCAGAGAAGTACCTGTCTGAATTTTAACTCAGTTAGTAGGGCACTCATATAGGGTATGGAAAACCCTGGTTCTGGGCCCCCCTCACCCAAAGGGGCTTGAACCTCCATCTCTCACTTGTGGTTTTTCTTCAACCAAGGTTTTGGTGATTATGTGGAATTATGTGCATTTCTGTGCAATTCCCTTCCACCTGACAGTCTACTTGGCCACTACCACAGGGCAAGTGGAGCTATGCTGGTGAAAGCAGTATTTAAACTGCCTGAGTGTCAAATGTTGCACTTATGCAGTAAAGGCCCTGCTACAGATTCAAATTAAAACTGGATAGAAACAAGCTATAGAGTTGTTACCCATTTTCAAACACTAATGTTATAGCTGGTTGCCTCTTTTTATAGCTGGATAGACATTTTTATTGTGTGATCATTACTTTACATGTGTGGCTGGTCTAAATTTATTGGATGATTAACCAGTTAATTGTGTTATATATGTAATATGTAACAGGGCCCTTACATACATGCCACTTCAATATGAAAAGGCAAAATAGAATTCTTCTCGGCCCATAGTACTGTGTTTTCATGTTCTTATTCAAAGTCATGTGCCTAGATAAAAAAAGATCATGGGCCAAATGTGTGTGTATTGCAATGTACATAATACAAGCAAAGGGGCTTGTTATATATGAAGTATGTTTAATTAATCAATATAGGAGGTGCAATTCCAGAAAAGGAAAATCAAGTAACTCATGGAAGAAGCTGTGTAAGTAATGGTAAAGAAATGATATATTTTTCCTAGAAACACATTAATTTAAAAAATATTCTTCCATGTACAGTCAGAGACAATAAATCCAAGAACATTTACAATTGCACATAAGTTTAAACTAGATGGACCATATGATCTAATAGGTATTTTCCAACTCTAGCTTCAGTAATTCAACAAAGCTATTAAATTGAATTCTGGAGAATAATCTTTTGTTGTCTAAGAAACAATTACAGCTTACAATTATACAATAAGTATATACAGCAAACAAACACAGTAGTTAATTTACCTTATAAATTGCACTTGCAGCTACTTCTACTTGCATCTATTTCACTTGATTCACAGTAGGTACCTTATATATTCCTTGTAAACAACACATGGCAAATATCCCTGAATGAAGCTTTGTATTTTAGAATAGTGCTATGAATGAATTATTAGTATCTAAGAGACCTGCTTCAATCTTTTCCAAGTTTTGAAAAAATTACCTACATCCTCTAACCTTATACATCCCATTTAAAAGTACTTTGTAATATGTGTAGACTACAGATTAAGACATACATCTCTCAGAATTTTATGAGATCTGCTTATAGGGATACTTTGAGGGTTTATTTAAAATGTATTTTGAACCTTCTGAAAACAAAAGAACCCTTTATAATTGAAAATGCTTTAAAAAAACATCTAAAATAACACATAGGGAAAATTATCTGTGGAATTCAACAGAGCCAGGAAAGTAAACAGATTCTTAATGTAATTAAATTTTAGTTTGATGTCTGCATCTCAATACTATTTTGTAAAGTGCCTCCAATTTATTCCTTTTCTTTCCCCAACCCCCACCCCCCACTTTTTTTTTTTTTTTACACAAGAGACCAGATTCTTTTTAATACTATACTGTGCTAGGTACATAAAAGCATATGGGGATTTATATGTGCACAGCTTAAAAATGCAATTCATAACTGGATTCTTTTTGAACTATTGAATACAATTAGGGCAATGTGAAATTATATCTATTGTCACAGAAATCTTTCAAGTTTAGGAATGCAGATTACATTGTCATTTCTTGGGGAAGGTGAGCTCACATTAGGCAGACCTTAGCTACCTTTCACTTAATGCAGGTTTGTGGTGAAGGCTGCCTAAGTCATAAAGTTCATAATCACACTTTCACAAGGGCATGTCCATTCCTAGCATAAAGTGTGATATTAGTTATTATTTTGTTTATCTCCCATCAATAGGGTTAGAGCAGTACAATCTCCCACTTATGGGGGAAAGTCCTTTAAGGCAGAAGATAGGTTGCCTAGAATGAGTGAATGAGTTGAATCTCAGTGGGTATGTCTATACATGCAAAAGATCCGAGAGCAATAACTACTCAAGAGTAAATGCTCCTGGGCATGCATCTAAAGATACAGGGAAGCGGGAGCAGATTTGCTGCTCCTAGCAAAAAATCTGTTCCTGATTCCTGTGGCCCTGCAATGGGCCCCTGCAGCCCCCAGGGGGCACTGGAAGCTCTGGCTGCTTCTGCCTGTGGCCAGCAGGCATCTTTAGTAGGCAGCCCCAAACACTGCTCCCTGGCCAGTCACCTTTCTGGCTGGGAGCAGCATGCAGAGTACAGGGACAGCATGTGGCGGCTTTCTCACCACAGCATCTGCCTCACCACACCATGGCTACTTCAGTTGCTGCCCCTGGCAGTGATGGCTGGTGCTCCAGGCTGCTCCTGCCTATGTTGCTGGCCCACCATGGCAGCCACCATCTGGCCCAGGGCCACCTGGGCTCTGCAGGCTCCCCCACATGCAATGGCCACCTGGTGAGTCACAATGCATAGTCTTAGGCCCTCTGCCACCATGCTGATGCTGCCAGGACCCCAGCAGGGATGGTGATGACATGCTCCTGGAAGCCACTGCCAGATCCATCCACACCCTCCTGGAGTCCCACTGCCTCTGGGGCCACCTGGCCAGTCAGGACTGGTGACTGCACATTGTCCAGACCACCTGGGATGATGAACAGTGGCTGGAGGCATTTCAGATGACACGGGCCACCTTCCAGGACCTCCTGGAGCAGCTCTGACTGCAACAAGAGTGACAGGACACTGCCATACAGCAGCCCCTCCCTGCAGAAACCTGGCTGGCCATTACCCTGCTCAAGCTGGTCATGCTCACCAGCCTCTGCTACATTGGCCACCTATTCAGCATGGGCAAGACTACCACCAGTGAGGCTATCCTGGAGGTGTGCAGTGCCCTCCAGGATGTGCTGGGGCATACTGTGTTCCATGTGTATGACCCCCTGGTGATGGTGGTGGGGTTCCATGCCCTGGGATTCCCTCAGTGCATTGGGACCCTGGACAGGACCCACATGCCCACCACCTGCCTGCTCCATGGCAACTGCCCCTACTTCAGCCAGGGGAGAAAGTGGGGAGTGGGGGAGCTTCCATCTGTCATGCTCCAAGCCATCATCAACCACTGCGGTGCCTTCATGAATGTGAGTGCCGGCTGGGCAAGCAATTTTCACAATGCCCACATGTTTCAGAACTCCATCCTGCCAGCCCTGGTGCAGAGCAGGAACTTCATTCCAGGGGTACTGGTCCTTCAGCTGGGTGCAATGTGGTCCCTCCCCTCCTCACTGGGGACCTCACCTACCCACTCCTTCCCTGGCTCATGCAGCCCTAGACTGGCTAACTGGACCCCGTCAGGCCCACTTCAACAAGCACGTGGGCCAGACCTGTGCCCTCATGGAGTATACCTTTGGTCAGATGAAGAGATACTGGGGCACCCTCACACCCACCTCAAGTTCACTGAGGACAACTTACCCCGGGTCATTGTTGCAGCCTATGTGCTGCATAACATCTGCGAGGTCTGGGGTGAACTGTTTTGTGAAGCCTGGGTGGAGGAGATGCAGTGGGAAGAGGATGCCTGGCAATGGGAGCACCAGCTGTGGTGGCAGCCATAGCGGTGGGCTTGCCCTGCCAAGGCCCTGGGCGAGTTGCACACCCACCCACCAGTGGGGGCCAAGGCACTGGGTATGAGAGGCTCTGCTCAACCACCTCTTCCT